AGCATGTATACATTGTATCTCTGGACTTTCCATCTCTACTGGTTTTGTCTCCTCCTTCCACCGCTCTAGAAGCCCGCTGCTCCAGGACTTCTTTTCCAGTTGATCCACTGACTTCTATCCCTGGAAAGGCAAGATTATGGAAACAGTCAAAGATACTTTCATCTGAAAGGTCTGGATCCAATCTTCCAATGGCTTTAACACGAAGGGCTTGGTTCCAACCACCATTCATCAAAAGCGTATCAGTAATTATCCAGAGGAGTGGTTTGCAAACTTCCATGTGCCCACAAATCACTTGGGGGTCTTGTTAACATGCAGTTCTGATTGAGTGCGTGGTGGAGGCTGAGCGTCTGCATTTCTACCAGCTCCCAGGGGCTGCCCTGCCTGCAGGTCCATGGAGACACTTGGAGTAGCAGGTGCTTCCAGCACTCCTAGCCTAATCGGTAGCTGCCAGCAGCACCAGTCATAGCCCATAATCTCATTGGCTCACTCCCCTGTGGAAGGGCAACCACACTCTACACAATTCACTTGGGGTATTAAGATCCTGCCCCTCCATAGCTGTTCTCACCACCTGGTAGGTCTCATCCCCAGGCTGCTCTTGCTAGTTGTTCTCATCCGATAGCATGGAAGGCAGTGTTGTAGAGCTAGCTGTTAAGAGCATAGCATTTGCAGTTTCCAGAACAATCAATACAAACAACAAAAACACCGCCATAGAGTTGGTTCTGATTCATAGTGGTCCTATGGGGCAGCGTAGAACTGCTCCTTCAGGTTTCTGAGACTGTAAATCTTTACAGGAACAGATAGCCTCATTTTTCTCCCCTAGAGCAGCCCATGGGTTTGAACAACCAACCTTGCAATTAGTCCACAGTGCCATGAGGATTCCTTGCCTCTGAAGTCAGGCCATCTGTAATAAGATCCCAGGTCTTCCACCTACTGTGTTACTTGGACAAGTCCTTTGGCAAGTGACTTCCTCTCTTTGCGCTTCCATTTCCTCAAGTGTAAAATGCAGATGGCAATCGTCGCACATGGCATTTGTCATTGCCTCATATGCATGTGAAAGTGTGACATTGAATAAATAAGACTGAAGAAGAATCGATGCATTTGGATCACGGTGCTGGAAAAGAATATTGAAAGTACTGTGGACTGCTCAAAGGACAACCCAATCTGTCGTGGGAGAAGTGCAGCCAGAGTGCTCCTTAGAGACAAGGGTGGCGAGACTTCATCTTGAATACTTTGGGGGCATGTTGTCAGAGGAGACCCCTCCCTGGAGAAGGACATCATGCTTGGTGGAGTAGAAGGCCCTTGAGAAGATGGAGTGACACTGTGGCTGCAACAAGGGGCGCAAGTGTGAGAACAACTGTGAGGCTGGCACCGCACGGGGCAGTGTTCCGCTCCGGTGAGCATAAGGTCCTTATGGGGAGGATCACTATGAATCGAAACCAACTCGGTGGCAGCGTGTTTTTGTCATTGTTTGTATTGAGTTGTTGGAAACTGCAAATGCTATACTCTTCACAGCTAGCTATAAACCCTGCCTTTCATGCAATAGAACTAAAGCAAGGCAGCCTGGTGATGAGATGGGATGGTCATTATGGGATGGCACCTAGCAACAGCAGTGGTCACACCCATGGTGCAGAGCTATTGATGAGAATAAAGGGGGTTCATAGCATCGCTCCCAGTTGATGAGGCTTCACTAGTGGAGCAGTAAAACAAATCAGACTGTGATGCACAAATGTTTAGGGTTCAAAATGTTCGCTGGTGTTGGCATCTTTATATCGTTCTCTGGGCCCTTCCTCGGTGGTGGAACTCTGTCCTTACTCTGATTGCTCCTCTCAAGCTCTTCCTCTCCGTCTCTGCTGGAAGGTCTTTCCTCCCCAGACATTGATCCTTGCCTTCATTGATTCCTACTCTCCCTTGCCCAGCTAAACCCTCTTCTTGCTCATAGCTTCTAATATCACCTGTGTGATGGTGATTTCCAGAGCTCCCTCTGTGTTATATGCCATCAACTTGGGCTCAATGGAATGAAACACTGTTGAGCCTTGTGCCATCCCCATGATTGGTCTGGGATTGGGAATGTATTGGAGTTCAAGTTCTCAGCATTACGTTAGCATGTGGCCTTAATGGACAGTGGAGCACGAGGGTCGCATGGCCATGTGTCGGAGAACCCTGAGCCAACCTTGTAGGCTCTTCAGTCCTAACATATGTGTCCCCATCCTGGTCCCATTCTTGATTCTGTAGTCCCACCTGCAACTGTGATGTATTCATCTGCTACGAGTCGTGCTTTTGTGACAGTTTCCCTTGCACTCCGTGTCCCATTTAAGGAGCCTCCGAAAAACTGCCATGGATTTGATGCTTCACTCAGAGCGACCCCATAGGACAGGGTTGACCTGCCCCAGTGAGTTTCCGAGACTGTGCCTCTGTATGGGAGTAGAAAGCCCCACCTTTCTCCCTTGGAGCAGTTGGTGGTTTCGAACTGCCAGCCTTGTGGTTAGCAGCCCAACACGCCACCACTCCACCACCAGGCTCCTCTTTGAATCCCTAACAGTCAGATAAACAAGAGAAGATTCTCAGAGCTCTTTGGCCCCTCTAGAGGATAGTTGAATGCAACCTGTTTGTGAGCAATTTATAAAAATTCCATAGAGATTGCATTAATTAAGCGCCTTAAGCTAACTGCATTTCATAAGGGGGGCTTTTCTAACTATGTTAACTAAAATAACATAGCTGATAGTTCCGGATAGCTTTGACACTCTGTCTTGTAGCAATTTGTCTATCATCTTGTCTCACTCCTTGCCTGTAACCCAGGGCCTGGCACATTTCAAGAACTCAACAAATACACACACACACACACTTGTTGCTTGAACTCATGAATCTCTCGGATGCATTCTCACAGACCTAACCCTAAATCTCCCTTTCAAACACGGCCACCCACAGAACCGTGCCACGTGCTTTCCCCCTAAACTGGATGTGTGGGTGGGTGTGCTCCGGTTCATTCCTTGGGGTTCGCCAACCTGTGTATCAGTGCATGATGGGGGTCATCCTGGTGTCTTGGCAGGTGTGTTCTTTACTTTCCACACCTTCCACCTGGAAAGTGGCCACGACTACCTCCTCATCACGGAGAACGGCAGCTTCACCCAGCCTCTGAAGCAGCTGACCGGCTCTCGACTGCCGGCTCCCATCAGCGCTGGGCTCTATGGCAACTTCACCGCCCAGGTCCGCTTCGTGTCTGATTTCTCCATGTCATATGAAGGCTTCAACATCACCTTCTCAGGTAAGACGGCGAGCATCCCTGCGGGGACGAGGCCGCAGGTAATCCGTCTTACCCTCTGCTGCCGACATCTGGTCTTCCCACCAGATAATCAGTGATCTGCTCTGTGGTCTCTGGGGGCAGTGGCCTCTGGGGCGAAGCCCAAGATGTTTGCATTCAGCAGGAGGAGGAACTTCCTACAATGGCCAGAGAAGGAGTCCAGCTTTGTTGAGGACTCTCCTCCGAAGGTGTTTAGGATTTACGCTGAATGGCCTGCCTAGCTGGTTAAATGAGAAAAAACTCCCTAAAGAGACCCCATGCCCTAGTTGTCCACATTCTTCAATTGCCTCCACGTCCCTTGTTTCATAGCCCTGCAATTAGAACAAGAAGAAAAGAGTTTGAGATTAGTATACCTGGGGTGTTCTGGCTTCACTTGAAGTCTTTTAAAATATAGATTATATATTGATTTATAAATGATAAATTAATTTATAAATATATATTAATGTAAATTATATATAATAAAAGTATACATAGCCAAAGACACACCATTTCAATCATTTCTACGTGTGTTCAGACAATTCTATAACACCAGTCACATTCTTTGCATTGGTAATTCTTGCTATCCCTCGCCAATGTATTCTACCTCCGTCTTAGACTCGCTGCTCCCTAAGCTTCCCCTCCACCTGGTCAGTTGCCTTGGTCAATCCATCTACAGTAGGGTGACTGCCTGGTAGTAAGTACTAATCTCTGGGTCTAGGAGCTCCGGCAAGTACACGTTCTTGTGTGCATTCAGGGAGTTTCACCAAGGTTCCTGGCCACTTGTGTCCTATTGTGCCAAAGTTCCCGCCTTCTCAGCTCACTGTAGATAGCCTATGGATTCTTCTTGGGATGGGCAAGAGGTACCTGGCCTTTAGAAACTAGGCCCATGCTGGACCTTCAGCAGCAGAAGCCCCTGTCACATGCCTAGGCTGACTGCCAGTCTGGCCTGGCTGATGGGATATATCCAGCCAGTGTACCACACCCCTGGTAGAGGGAGAGAGTCTCCTTGTTCATCCCACATAGTGCCCTTGGGCACTGTCTCCATATGAGAAAGAGGCCCTTCAAGGCAAAGGGGTAGTCACTTCTACGCTCACTGATGGTTTCAGGTTTGTGAGTGGACCATGAATGCCACTCCATCCAGCTGCTCCCCGTCCTCCCCAAGTGACAGCATTATGGAGAAAAGCTGGAGTGACACTTGGATTTTTCTTGCTCAAGGAAAGTTGTCCTAGACTCCGTCAGCTATGACCTTGTTGGACAGCGATGGTCACATTTATGGGGTTCAACAGAGTCTAAAGCGCTCTGCAGCTTGGGGTTCAAATGGAGTTGAAGGGACTGAGAAGGGAAGGCTCACTTCATGCGGAATGTGCATCCAGATGCACAGTGGCCCCACCCCACTGCTTATGGATTGGAAGGCTCCTGACCCCTCTGCCTCTGCTCCCTCCAGGCTCTCCCTCCCTGCCTCGCTACCTTTGGTGGGTCAGTGTGGGCATCAGGCCTCCCTCTGCCTCTGTGCGTCTGTGTACCTCTCTCGGGGTCTCCCGTACACCGCAGTGACCCCGCCTCTTTGGCTGTCTGTCCAGAGTACGACTTGGAGCCCTGTGAGGAGCCCGAGGTCCCAGCCTACAGCATTCGGAAGGGCTTGCAGTTTGGCGTGGGTGACACCTTGACCTTCTCCTGCTTCCCCGGGTACCGGCTGGAGGGCACCGCCCGCATCACGTGCCTGGGGGGCAGACGGCGCCTGTGGAGCTCGCCTCTGCCAAGGTGTGTTGGTAGGTGGTCACGTGCTTTCATTTTGTTTCACTAATGGGGTGGGCACCACTTTACTTGGTCTCTGTGGTGGCGTGGGGAGCGCCCAGGCCAAGGGTCCCACAGGCCTGGACTGGCGGACTCATTGGCCACACGCTCACCTGTGGGCAACCTCAGGCAGGTCACTTAACCTCCTGCTGCTGCAGCCTCCTTTCCATAAAACCAGGATGGCAATGCCAGCTTTGTGGCATTTTCCCATAGCCTCCACAGGCCTTACAGTGTGGGTCTTTTTGAAAGGTAGACAATCAGGTGAAGTTGACTTCAATAATCTCATTTCCCCACTCAAGACACATAGATTTAGCCATTTCAGGACCAAATTATGTTCTGTTTTCCATTTGGTCTGGTTGTTAAAACCAGATGTTTTCAGTAATGGAAAGCATTTGGAATGAAATCAAATTTGGGGTTTAGAATTTCAATACAATTCTGATACCCCCAAGGGGTCTTTGGGCGTGGGGTTGGTGGTAACAGGCCCATTTCTCCAGATTGGTGCCTTTATACAGGCCCTCACCAAATGGCAGCATTCACTAAAAGTAGGATAGGAGATTCCCATTAAACTCCTGAGGCAAAAAAATGAAGGTGAGCACCATATGTCCCATGAGTCATGACAAGGTTATGAATTCCTTTTGCAGATATATGGATAAAAACTGGGCAGGCCTATAAAAAAGAAATATGACCTTTGTACATGGAGAGTCGCAGTCTGGGAGTTTAGCTGAGTACTAGCCGTTGGAGAAACCCTAGAAAGCCCCAGCTTGGGAAAGGTGGGAATGTTGTTGAGTTCAAGTCGAGTGCCTCTTATGTCCCAGGGACTGCTGGGGTGCGATGGATACAGAAGTGGATGAAGCAGACCAGGTCTTCCACTCATAGTCTGGTAGAACCTATAGTTGAACAAGATTCCCAGGTGATTTTCATGTGAGGATGTTGTTAAACTGCATATGTTGGCTCCATTTGTCTGAGGCGGAATGCAGCAGTGGGTTGAACTGGAATGACTTGGTTCAAAGCCCTGGAGGGTAGAAGCCACGTACACTTAGATATGTAATATACCCGGTGAAGGTCAGGGTCACAGAGGAAAAGATGTTGGGCTTGGAGAGTGCTGGAATGGAGCTGCTCACCTTTGTAGAATGGTCTAGAGAGACCTCTGATGATCTGAAGGAATCCCAGAAGACCCCCACTGGGCTATCTGGGAGGAGAGAGACAGGCCCTGACCCAGGAGAGTGCCCAGTGTGTCTGAGGTCCCGCCTGGAGGACGAGTCTAGGGAGATCTGGTTTCAGATTGGAGCCCAAGGTCCTCCTGTGTCCTTGCCAGAGCCCTAAGGAAGGCCATCCAGAGCTCTAGGTCTGCAGGGTGGGCAGGCTGATTTCCCGGGGAGCTGGGCGATTACTAGCTGCCCCTTATCTGTAGGGTGGAAGCCTCCCCTTGCTCACTATGCATCGCAGAGAGCTTGAGCAAATGCAAGATGCCTTAGTGCAGTTGTTGCCAGGCTCACTGTGAGCCTCGCACTTGCATTTCGAAGTCAATGTGACACAAACACCCTGGTATACCAAACAGGAGCAGCACTACATTGGCTCACAGGAACTGGCAACTCAGAGGACTCCACTGCTCAGCAGGGCCTGGGACAACTCCATGGAGCCCTGGGCTCCGCAGGGGCTGGGGGACAGTGTAGACAGCTGATGTGATGCATCGCTAATGCCACCGTTAGTGACCAGCTCTTACAGCACCCCCACACTGAGCCCCAGCCCCCGCCTTTATGAACATCCCAAGGCTAGTTGATGGAATTGACATAAGGCTTGAGGATTTTGTCCAAAGTATTTTCTCATCTCACAATTACAGGAAAATTAAGTCCAAGAGCTGTAGGATTCTGCTATTAACTAATTGAATATCCCTAGCGTGTATCCCAAGCCATGATATTTCCCCTTGCCTCACGTGCATGTGAAAGTTGGACACTGAATAAGGAAGATTCTAGAGAAATCCATGCATTGAAATTGTGGGAAGAGCTTTGGAAGTGCCAGGGACTGCTAAAAGGACACACCAGTCTGTCTGGGAAGAAGTACAGCCAGAGTGCTTCGGAGAGACAAGGACGGCCGGACTTCATCGTCCTACTTCGGACATGCCCGGAGAGACCAGTCCCTGGAGAAGGGCATCATGCTTGGTAAAGTGGAGGGGCAGTGCGAATGAGGAAAGACCTCGAGGGCACGATGACACCGTGGCTGCCACCCTGGGCTCAGACGCAGGAACAATTGTTTGTGAGGCTGGCGCAGGACTGTGCCGCGTTTCCTTCTGTCGTGCGTAGGGTCACGATGGGTCGGACCTGACTCGATGGCACCTAACAACCACAGCACAGTGGTATACATTCTCCTGTATACCAGTCCCCTAAGTATCCACTCCACCCGACCTGGCGCAGGTGTGGATGCACACTCACAAGTATGCTCTTTCTCACATCCACATACACATGCCAAATTCCTATACTCACACCCAGACACATTCACATTTATACTCTCAGGCACACTCACATCACACACACACATACATTCATATATTCACTCACATATAGCCACAGTCACATGTATACTACCTCTCTATCTCTCTCTCACACACACCAATCCTATACCCACACTTGCACACATTCACATAAACATCCACTAACACTCACATACACACACAGATTCGCTCACATACACTCCCTCACGCGCATTTGCACACACCACTCTTCCTTAAAGATTCAGTTCCTAAATTAGAGCCGAAAAGGAGTTGCTTGAACAACATGAAGAAAGAGCTCACTTGGGTTGGCACTTGAAAGGCCCCACCCTCACGAGTCCCTCAGACAGTCTCCGGGGCTCCCACAAGCCAGGTGTCCCAGCAATGCTTTCCTTGGACTCAGCCTGGAGCTAGGTTATTTTATGATCTTTACAGAGTGCTACTCATCATTCTGGTCCATTATTTGTTAATGCTTTTTTTTTTTTAACCAGTGGCTGCATGAAAGGTCCTTTGGCCCAAGGTTAAGGGGTTGCCCTGGCTTTCTTGAGGTATCAGCTGCCAGCAGCTCTTCGTTGGGAAAATGACCTCAGAGACGTGGGTCTGGGGGCGATGTTTCTGGAATGGAATGAGTCTGGACCACAGACATGCATGTTCCTTCAGCTCTTGCCTCATTGATCGCATTTCATCAGCTCATTCTGTAACGTATTCCAATTACTGTTTGTTCGTGACACCTCACAATATTTTCATTATTACATTTGTCTTCTGTTTCACATTATTAATAATGCCTGGCAATTACAATCACCTCTAATTACCGCCAGCTCTGCCGCAGAGGCTCTGCTAGAGGTACCACGGGAATGCCCACCCAGGGGAGGTTCCCAGTTGGCGCGTGTGCTGTAGGTGTAAATGGGATGAATTAGCCCGCACAGTGTTGCCGGGGGAATTCCCAGCCGACAAGGAGATGAAGAGCCCCAAGCTCTAATTCATGGTGTGATGGGGAGCAGGGGGGTGACACAGCCTCTGGCCACAGGGACCACTGAGTTTGATGGGGAAAAGATAGCCCCTGGCCCCAGAGGACCTCAGTCTACAGCAGGGGCCATGACCCTGTCCTTGAGATCTTCCGTGTGATGGAGAAGACCGACCCTTCTGCCTCGCGAGCCCCAGACTGATGGATAAGCGACAGCTCCTGACCTTAATGAGACCTTCTGCGACAGGAACAGCATAAGTCACCGATGCCTGTGCCTGCTGATTTCTCTGGAACACTTACGTGTCTCCATCTACACTTGTGTTTGGATTTGGGGTATCATCTGCCCCCTGCCTGGTGACTTTGGAAACTCAGAAACAAACGCCATGTCCTTCTAGCCTCTTGTCCACTCCACGATGCTCAGGCCACAACGGACTGACCACAGCTGAAGGGTCCACCCTGCTTCCCTCCTCGTAAATGTGTTGGCCGCACAGGAAAGAGAGATGATCAACCTGGCACCTAGGACAGAGAAGGAGCCTGTAGCTCCTGTGCAGGAATCCAGGGCCAAGAAGGGGCCCCCAATATGCCAAAGCCCATGTGTAAGCGCAGCCAACCTGATCAGCAACGAGGCAGGAGATAAGAAGCGTTGGGGGTGCTGGGGGTGCTGTGAACCTTGGGCAGCTCGCCCATGCTTCTGCAGGAGCTTAGGAGCATCCTGCCAGGCTCAGAGCGGGGGCAGACAGGGTTCCAGATGGGGAGAGGGAATAAGAAAAATACTTGCTAAGGGTCGATCACTGGACCACTTAACACATAAGTCTCAGTCATTTAATATCTGTTGTCTTAGGAAGGTGCTACGTTGTCCAGATAGTGGCAGATGAGGAATCTTTGTGGCTTCAAACTCCATGTTCATTTTGCTGCACTGCGTGTTTTTCCCAGGGGTGATGGAGAGACCCTTCATGGGTCGCCCAGGTGATGGAGCTGAAGAATAAGTGTCTAACTGTGCCCCACTCTTATCCATACCTCACTCCCACACAGACGCCTACCTACCCTAAATTATCATTGGAGACTGCCCTTGGGTGCCTGTACACCACTGTCTCTGTAGTTTCCAAACCCAACCGAGCACATTCATCATGAATACAGTATTTGGTCTCTTTGAAAACAGGATGAGTTTAAGCTTAGACAACAGAAGCTGATCCTGAACAGGACAGATCTCAGGCACATCCAAAAGTAAAAGAACTCGGTGGTGGGACATGGCCACTGTCTTCAAGTGCTCTCTGGATGGAGGGTCATTAGGGTTGAAGGTGTGGTCAGGGCCATGTCCTTGGGTTGACGCCATTGTCCTTCCAACCAGAATGAGGACACGGAGAGAGGGTTTGGAGAAAGCTGAGTTCCTACCATCCACCTCAAAGATTCAGAACATGCTCCAAACTCCCCACCTGCCCAGAACAAATAACGGACTCGCCATCTGGCCTGGTATTTAAATCCTCTCAGAACCTAATTATTGTTAGGATTGTCATCTTCTGAGGTCAGTGCCCTCCATATTGGTTCATTCATTCACTTGGCAAATATTTATTTGACAAACAACCTGGCCTGAGCCTTGGAGAGTCACCGATGAATAAAGCATGTCCCCAGCCCTCAAGTCTCTCACAGTTTGTGTAGGGGATGCAGGCAATCGTCAAGCAAGGATGGTGCAACGTGGCAGGCGTAGTGAAGCTGGGAAGCCCAGGGTGCTTTTAGAATGCAAGGAGAGGCTTCACAAGGATTCACCATCCTGCAGCCCCAGCTGCAGACTCGTTTTCTATGGCGCATGCACGGCCACCACGCTGGGTCCCCACTCATCGCAGACGCCTGCTCATGCCAGGAACTGAGAGGGTGCTGGGAATCCAGAGACATGACCAGATCCCAAGGGACCCACAGTACAGTGAAGGAGCTAAAATATTAGCAAATACGTCAAATATGGCCAGTGCTATAAATAAAGGTCTGTAGACATTCTGTTGGGAACAATGGGGAAAGGATGACTAATTCTACAAGAGAAGAAATATCTGGGGGGTGCGAGAATGAGTTCATTTCCTACTGAATCAAACAAGGCTTCAAGACCTGTATGCTAAAACGTTCTCCTAACCCTGGGGGTGGGGGGAGCTGGAGAGGGCACAGGGAGGCTCCCGCCTTCCATGTGGGAGACCTGGGTGAGATCCCCAGCCACTGCGCGTCATGTGGAGCCACAAACCATTCACCAGTGGGGGCTTGCGTGTCACTCTGAGGCTGCTGCTAGACTAGGACTAGGAAGACAGGCTTGGGAACTACTTCTGAACAGCAGCCAATGAGAACCTTACGGATTATCATATCTAACCCTGTTGTGCAGAGAGTCGCCATGAGTCAGGGGTCAAGTCCATGGTCATTAGCAAGAATCCTTGGGCTCCTCGTTCCAGGACCCCAAAGCTTGAGATCTCAGCCCTGCCTCTCGGTGAATTTTGAGACTTGATCTAAATGTTAAGTCCCATGATCTTCATCCTGAAAACAGATGATCATTATACCTGGCTTGTGGGCTGGCTATTGTGACAAATGACTAAAGCAACCCTTGAAAAATGCTTTGCCTGTAAAGGCTCAGAAGATCCTAGGGGTTATTATTCGATACTGCCCTCCATATCGTTTCTCTCCTCTGACACTGAAAAGACTTCATCTCTCCTTACTCGGCTGCCCCCCTCCTCCTCTTGCATCCTCCCCGGTCATGTCAGTTGCTATGATACCATCCGAACAGGTGTGGGAAATGGCTGCTTTGTGAAAGTAAGGGGCGGGATGGGGGTGGGGGTGGGGGTGCTGGTAGATTCCTTTCTGTTTCTGTAAGATAGACAGACAGGCAACCAGAGGGAGATGGATTCAAAACCAGGTAGAAACGAAGGTGGGTGGATGTATAATTTTTTAGAAGCAACTTGAGCAGATGTCTTAAAGACAGGCAGCCAAATGAGCAGCTCCACAGACATCCTGGCAGGTCGCCAGGCTAACAAGTCGCCCTTGTCTGTAAGGCCCACCCGAGCTGTGAGTTCTGTTGCCCCATGCAGTGCCCGGGGGTTAATATGTGATTATTGTGATTCTCTTTCCAGCTGAGTGTGGCAACTCAGTCACGGGCACTCAGGGTACTTTGCTGTCCCCCAACTTTCCTGTGAACTACAATAACAACCACGAATGCATCTACTCCATCCAGACCCAGCCAGGGAAGGGGATTCAGCTGAAAGCCAAGGCATTTGAACTCGCCGAAGGAGACGTCCTCAAGGTAACGCTGATCGATCTCACCGAGCATGTGTGTTAGGTGAGGCCACGTGGCCAACGCCCCAGCTAATGCTGAATGGGTTCTCTCGGAACAGGACTCTGTCCTCATAGTCTGAGAGAAAAGGACGTGTGAGTGTCTGACACGAGGGTTTATGTTTCCTCAAGGGGCGACCGCGTTCTACTGTGTGTGTGTGGTCGAGTAGGCATGGACCACATTGTAAGAGAGGACACGAAATTCAGTTGGGGTGACCATCAGATCCCATAGTAAACCTTGCCTGTCAACATAAGGAAGAGCTCATAAAATGGTGCGTGTGTGCGCGCGCGCGCACATACCCATGGACCTACACATTTATGCAGATATACGTGGAGCCCTGGTGGCATATTGGGTTACTAGCCATACGATCAGCAGTTCGAAACCACCAGCTGCTCTGCAGGAGAAAGATGAGGCTCTCTGCTCCTGTAAAGAGTTAGGCTTGAAAACCCACAGAGACCATTCGACTCCATCCTATAGGGTCGGTATGAATCGAAATCAACTCCATGACTGCAAGTTTGGTGTTTTTTAAGTTTATATTTATGGATATGGACGCATGCATGTAGACCTGTGCCTGTGTATTTATTGGGGTTTGGGAGTCTATTTATCACATATGTGTCTCTGTGTGTTTAATCTGTGTGTACTTGTGTGTGGCTGGAGCACATGTTTAGAAAGAAGAGTAAACTATTGCAGCAGTCTCAGTGTGCAGTGATGATGGCTTGTATTTGACAGGAGCTTTAAAGAAAATGGGTCCAAGATCTACTATGACCTGGATTTAAGCATGGCGAAGGAGGCGTTATTAAGACACTGAGCAGATATGTGTCTTACCTTTTTTAATTTTTTTCTCTAGGTGTGTCTAACTGGGTTTCTCCAATAATTATCAAAGACTCGGCTCTGGAGACTTTATTAAAAAGCAGCCTTATTAAAATGGATCATAAAGAAGATCTCATACAGAGTAGGACCATTTCCATCCCAGGCCAAGAAACCTCTTTTGCTTGTTCTAAATATAGGTTTATTCCTGGAGAGGCTCTGCCGTGAGAGCAAAGCCGGCCCCGAGTGACTTACTCAGCAGTGGTGCAGATGGGGAGGAACAAGCTGGGCCGTGCAGAGCCCTTCTGGGATGAAGGTTGCTGTTCGCCCTGAAGGGAGTAGGAGCCGCAGTCCTTGGCATCTCACTGATAGGACAGGGCCAGCCAGTAGAAATAGCTCCCAGACCGCTGGGGACCACACCCAGTGCGGCCAATACTCCAGCGTCCTCCGTTGCACGCTTTAGAGTGAGAGTAGCCCATGAGCGGTAGACAGCAGGGGTGCGCGCCCCACGGTGCTGTCCAGGTGCTGAATCCAGGACCAGGCACGACAATGAATTGGCCGTAGAAGAAAGACTTCCCAAAGCAGGGAGGAGCCTGGTGTGCAAAACCCATGTCAGAAGCCAGGAAGGGTTCAGGGTGGATGCAGACCTCCAGGTAAGCCTGCAGGGCTTCGGGGAGAACATGCTGAATTCCTTGGTTTCTTTTCTTGTTGGTGGTTAAGGCATTTAGTTTTCATTTTTTTTAATGTATCACTTTATTGGGAGCGCTCACAGATATAACATTCCATAGCTCCACCACATTCAGGAGTATTGAATAATTATTTCCACAATCCATATGAAAACATTTTCTTTCTTCTTGAACTCCTTGATAGCAGCTTAGGAAGACTTCAGACTTGGTCTCTGTAGCCACCACCTGCCCGACCAGCCCTGCAACCCAACAGGAAGAGGGCTCGTGCCTTTTTATGTTGAGCTCAGTCTTCCATGCCCAAAGCACACTCCTTCTTCCCTGTCTGAGCCTCTTTAGTATCATCCTTAGAAAGTTGGCTGACTTCTGACCTAGCTGAAAGGTGATTCACGGCCCTTCTATAGAATGAGACTCCGAGAGAGAAGAAGACCCAAGGGGAGATCAGGGTGCTCCATGTATCCTCTTCCTTTTCTTAGTTCTTCTCTAAAGGACACCTTGCTCCAAGATGCAAACAGGTACCAGGCCAGTTTCAGAACTCACAGAACCCCACAGCTAGAGTTTGCTAAATGGGGGCCAAGGCCTCCACACAGTTACAGTAAGCTGCAGCAGCTCTGCTATTTGAGCCAGACACCCTGGTCTACCCTGACAGGAATATGTGCAAAGGAAATCGGAAGCATCCGTCACCTCCAAACCCATCTTCTCCTGGCCCAGTGTAATGGACCCACCTGCCCGAAGGCTGGCAGATTCCTGCTCTCAGGACATGCTTGCTTGCCCAAAGAAGCCAAATGTCCCTCTGAACTCCTGACCTAGGAGGCCGGCCACTTCCTCCACTCCTCACCTATCCCCCAAGAAACAGTATGTCTTACACCTGGCTAACCGTCCAAACCTATGTTGTTCTTCATCATCTTAGAACTGGATCCAACCAAGGGCCACTGTATATCTAGCTGATGGAAACCTGTGCCGCCCTCATGGTCACTGGTTGGTGCAAGTCCGTGGGTGAGGCTTGATGTCAAACTATGTCCCTGAGGGTTTTCCTCGTTTTCACAAACTCTGAACTCTATCACACACGCGGCCTTTTCTAGTGATGGTGCTTTGCTGATGATGTTTCTCCAGAAATCTAGTCTCCACCTGGCCATTCCTGCTTCAAGGGAACATTCTCAGTGTGCTGTTCTCGAACCAAGCACTTTATTCTGGGAGCTCCTGGTAGATTCCGTATTCTCCACAACGCCACAGTTCGAACATGTCAACCCTGTGCACAGTCTTGGATTTACATTCCATGAAACTTGCCCGTTTCCAGGCATATATGACCCCCGTGATTGTCCCTTACGCTTGACAACTTCAAATTTCTTTAATCACACACTCCCTCAGCAACCTGTATCCCAGTATACCACCCAACCACTCGCGCTGAGCAGCAGCGAGGCTGGTCAAGGACGCACCTGGATCGTTATCCTACTAGCCCTTCTGGAACCATGATCGCCTGGTAACGTGGCATTTTTGTGACTTTTGTTGTGACTTTTGTAGGCCAGTCACACACACAGACACACATCAAGGGCTCGTGCCTAACAGGAGTCGTCATGCTTATTGGAGAAGAGATTATATGATATCACACACACACACACACACACACAATTTAGCACCAAGGTCAGGCTCTCCTGCTGTGACATCTCCTGGTCCTGCTCTTCCGTATCCCTGACAGACTCCTGGGTGTTTCCCCTCCCCCACAGTAATGGCGTGCCAATAAGAAAAATAGTTGGATATGTGAAAATATTATGCAGCCCAAAATATTATGCGGACCTGTCCGAGGAATCGTAGCTAATTATCCTCCTGTAAGCAACAAAGAACAATAATTTTTAAGAGTCCTAATTTGTATTCTTTACAGGATTTGAGAGAATATTATATTTATGCTACAAAAAATAGGCAATAATGAAAACAGAGCAATCTGAGATGAAGAGAGATTGAATAGCGTTGAAAAACATGATCACCCAATTAAAAAATGGAATGGAGGCAATGAAGGGAAGATGGTAAACCACGGGAAAATGAAATCACTTTATTATGTGGTGAATTTGAGGCTTTCTCCCACGTCTCAGAAGGAGAAAGGGAAAAGATGATTCTTTTATATTAATAAAATGTGGAATCACTCCACAGTAAAACTTTACATGCTAAACAACATAGCTTGAATAAATTAAATAAAAGCTGTGGGAAACAGTTTTTAATTTAATAAAGTTGCAGTCACCATGGAAAATTTTAATATACCTTGGTTAGTCTCTGGCAGATCACCTAGGTTAAAAAAAAAAAAAGAAGTCAGGTAGCTTGAATAATACAGCAGAGTAGATCCAAAGTAAGTGGGAAAAAGGTGCTTTTAAAGATAAAAGGAGGCAGGCAGAGGAACAAGAAGATAATGAGGAATCCTGGCTTAGGGCACCTGGAGCTTCTGTTAAGGGAAATGGAAACATTGGAGATGGCTTTCTCTGTGGCCCTGTCTGTCTCTCTCCCACTGCCATTGAGCTCATTCCAGCTCACAGTGGCCCTCTAGGACAGGGTAGAACTGTCCCTATGGGTCCTTGAGACTGTAACTCTTTTCAGGAGTAGAAAGCTTCATTGTGTGTTCACCAGGCAGCTGGTTGCTTCAAACTGCTGCCCTTGTGTGTAGCGGCCAGAGTCATGACGCATGACCTGCTATAGGCCCGGGGCTCCTGGCGGGAGATGGATAGTGATGATGATTACACAATAGGATGGACATCATTAATGTCACTGAATTGTACGCAAAAATGTGGAAATGTCAAATGTTTTGTTCTAGCTCCCACAATTTTAAGAAACAATGAAGAAGTGAAGCCAAGTACATACATACACACACACAGACATACATACAATGCAGACGTGAAGCCAAGTACATACACACACACATGCATACACATGCATGCATGCACACACATACATGTGTACATACACACGTACATGCATACATACACACACATATATACAGCAGGAGCTGCTGTCAACGAAACCAAAATCCAGTTCTTTGAAAAAGAACCGATTGGCTAGATTAATCTGGCCGGATGGATCAAAAAAAGAGAAGTCATGCATGCGTAATATTACCCACAAAAGAGAGAGCGAGTCACACATACGAGAGCTGGGATAAAAATAAAACAGTTACTAAAGCAACTGTGAGACAAGAATGGAAATTTCCTTCTTTAACTTTTTATGGCTATTTGGGTAAACATGTACAGAGAAAATCGTTTCCCTTCAACAGCACTGAACATTTTGGTTCGTTACATGGTGCAGCCCCCCTCACGTAGCATCACTCTTCTGACTCCCTCCCCATGTTCATCATTCCCATCCAGCCTTCCCTCCTGCCCCTGCCTGTATTCTGAGCTTTGATTTGGGGCAAATCTGCCCTTTGGGTCTCTCGCAGGGTTGATTATGGTTCACTTCGTGGACCTGTTGGGCTTACACGTGATCCCAGGGTGTGGGTTCAGTTCC